GAACGGCTTCCGCCACCCCAGAGTGCCTCTCACTCTTCGAGGAAACACTGACTCCTCTATTCTAAGTGGGGGAGAGGGTCGGAAAGCCCTTTCCTCCCAGGTCTCGGATGTGAGGCCAGTTTCGCTGCGGAAACAGGTGGAATCCTTTATGGATACCAAGCTGAACATTGTCAGCAGGGTCCGCGATGCCATGGCAGCGGCCCAGGATAGACAAAAGGAGTACTCAGACAAACATGGAAGAGGAAACTTAAGTGTATTTAAAGTGGGGGACTTAGTGCTATTAGACACGAGGAACCTACCGCTAGACACTGTCAGCTCTGTCGGCAGCAACAAGCTGAAGCACCGCTTCATCGGACCTTTTGCAGTCCTGGCCAGACATGGTGCGTCGTACACCATCGACCTTCCAAAGTCAATGACGACGCACCCGACGTTCTATGTCGGACGTCTTAAGCGGTACTTTGACCCGCAGGGGGGTTGCTGACTCGCAGACCCCCCTTGACCCAGCTCCTCGAAGCGAGGGCCGGTCACAGTCGTCGACGAGGGCGTCGGAGCAGGCACCCAAGCCTCGGTCGGGACGGCAAGGCTGCGGTCAAGACCGTACGCCGGAGGGGCTCCATACGAACGGACCCCGGCGCCATACGCCGAGTACGCTGAGTACGCCGGGTACGCACCATACGCGTACGTCTGGGAGTGTGCCGCAGGCGGCTCCGGACGTGGCAACAAAGCCTCGATCCGTCGGATCATGCGAAAGGCCTCGTCCAGATCGGACGAAGAGGCCCGGCGGTCCACCCGCAGGTGCAGGCTCGCGACCTCTCGCTCCACCAGGTCCAGGCGACCCGCAAGACGAGCGAGCTCGCCCTGATTCCCGGCCTGGGCGGCAGCATTACCGCCAGTCCCAAGGCCAAGTGCAATCTCAAGCACGAGGAGACGTTGACGGAGGCGGTCAACCTCAGGGTCCCGTGTCGGACCCGCAGTCGGAGCACTCGAACGAGACTGGCTCTCGGGAGGCGCCGAGTACTCGTACTCGTACGAGGGCACCTCCGCCCCTGCTTGACCGGAATGGAGAAGTCCACTTCCACGTGGAGCGGATCCTCCAGGAGCAACGGTGTCGCGGGAAGCGACAGCTCCTCGTGAAGTGGAGGGGTTATGCCCACCCGAGAACTCGTGGGAGCCGATTGAACGGCTCCTGATTGACTGCCCGAAGGCTGTCGCAATCTGGGAACAGAAGCGGCGGCAGCTTCATAAGTAGTCCGGGGCTTCTTGCCCGAACGGGGTACGGATGATGAATACATACCGTACCCGCGCTCATCGTGAGCGCTAGAAGCCGCGCGCTTCAGGATGTCCCTTGGCAGAATACGCTTGCTGATCAAGTGGGCAAACCTCACACGAAGATCACGCTGGTCCCAGGATGTGGGACAGCTGCTGATCTTCATGGAGTTCCCATAACTCCGTGGGCGAGTACTTGAGAGTCTCCACCCACGCCCAGAACATGTCCTCACAAGAACTCCATGTGGGACAGTTCTCGGGCATAACCCCAGGGGTATCCCCAAACAGGATAGAGACCAACCCCGGGTCTCGGGCTTTCTTACGACAAGTCGTGAAGTCTTTAAGGGGAAATGCGGTGTGGCGCGAGAGCACACACCGAGCAGTCTCCACGTTGTCGACGAACAACTGTTCCTTTCTGAACAAGGGCTCGTTCATAGATGCCCCTAGAAGTGTGCCGCTCCACAAGTCACGAGGAGCGACGAGAAGCTCTAAGAAGA